ACTGGAAGGTAGTTGTGCTTTCTGGGTTCGAGTCCCACTGGTGGGTGTTGTCCAAAGATTGTTTATCTTCACTTGTGGTTTATGCAAGTATAGGCTTATAAGCTGGACACGAGTTCTCTCACATTGACAGTGGCTTGACGAAAATTGCAGACTGACCCCTCACTCATCTGGTGCCTTCGGGAGGTAGAGATGTTTGAGATATATATATCTCGAACTATCTACTTCTTTTGTAAGGTCTGATGGCGTAGTGGGTTAAAGCATACTAGTTATGCCAGCTACTGGAAGGTAGTTGTGCTTTCTGGGTTCGAGTCCCACTGGTGGGTGTTGTCCAAAGATTGTTTATCTTCACTTGTGGTTTATGCAAGTATAGGCTTATAAGCTGGACACGAGTTCTCTCACATTGACAGTGGCTTGACGAAAATTGCAGACTGACCCCTCACTCATCTGGTGCCTTCGGGAGGTAGAGATGTTTGAGATATATATATCTCGAACTATCTACTTCTTTTGTAAGGTCTGATGGCGTAGTGGGTTAAAGCATACTAGTTATGCCAGCTACTGGAAGGTAGTTGTGCTTTCTGGGTTCGAGTCCCACTGGTGGGTGTTGTCCAAAGATTGTTTATCTTCACTTGTGGTTTATGCAAGTATAGGCTTATAAGCTGGACACGAGTTCTCTCACATTGACAGTGGCTTGACGAAAATTGCAGACTGACCCCTCACTCATCTGGTGCCTTCGGGAGGTAGAGATGTTTGAGATATATATATCTCGAACTATCTACTTCTTTTGTAAGGTCTGATGGCGTAGTGGGTTAAAGCATACTAGTTATGCCAGCTACTGGAAGGTAGTTGTGCTTTCTGGGTTCGAGTCCCACTGGTGGGTGTTGTCCAAAGATTGTTTATCTTCACTTGTGGTTTATGCAAGTATAGGCTTATAAGCTGGACACGAGTTCTCTCACATTGACAGTGGCTTGACGAAAATTGCAGACTGACCCCTCACTCATCTGGTGCCTTCGGGAGGTAGAGATGTTTGAGATATATATATCTCGAACTATCTACTTCTTTTGTAAGGTCTGATGGCGTAGTGGGTTAAAGCATACTAGTTATGCCAGCTACTGGAAGGTAGTTGTGCTTTCTGGGTTCGAGTCCCACTGGTGGGTGTTGTCCAAAGATTGTTTATCTTCACTTGTGGTTTATGCAAGTATAGGCTTATAAGCTGGACACGAGTTCTCTCACATTGACAGTGGCTTGACGAAAATTGCAGACTGACCCCTCACTCATCTGGTGCCTTCGGGAGGTAGAGATGTTTGAGATATATATATCTCGAACTATCTACTTCTTTTGTAAGGTCTGATGGCGTAGTGGGTTAAAGCATACTAGTTATGCCAGCTACTGGAAGGTAGTTGTGCTTTCTGGGTTCGAGTCCCACTGGTGGGTGTTGTCCAAAGATTGTTTATCTTCACTTGTGGTTTATGCAAGTATAGGCTTATAAGCTGGACACGAGTTCTCTCACATTGACAGTGGCTTGACGAAAATTGCAGACTGACCCCTCACTCATCTGGTGCCTTCGGGAGGTAGAGATGTTTGAGATATATATATCTCGAACTATCTACTTCTTTTGTAAGGTCTGATGGCGTAGTGGGTTAAAGCATACTAGTTATGCCAGCTACTGGAAGGTAGTTGTGCTTTCTGGGTTCGAGTCCCACTGGTGGGTGTTGTCCAAAGATTGTTTATCTTCACTTGTGGTTTATGCAAGTACAGGCTTATAAGCTGGACACGAGTTCTCTCACATTGACAGTGGCTTGACGAAAATTGCAGACTGACCCCTCACTCATCTGGTGCCTTCGGGAGGTAGAGATGTTTGAGATATATATATCTCGAACTATCTACTTCTTTTGTAAGGTCTGATGGCGTAGTGGGTTAAAGCATACTAGTTATGCCAGCTACTGGAAGGTAGTTGTGCTTTCTGGGTTCGAGTCCCACTGGTGGGTGTTGTCCAAAGATTGTTTATCTTCACTTGTGGTTTATGCAAGTATAGGCTTATATATATATATATATATATATATATATATATATATATATATATATATATATATATATATATATATATATATATATATATATATATGTCGTACCTAATAGCCAGAACGCACTTCTCAGCCTACTATTCAAGGCCCGATTTGCCTAATAAGCCAAGTTTTCATAAATTAATGTTTTTTCGTCTACCTAACCTACCTAACCTAACCTAACCTAGCTTTTTTTGGCTACCTAACCTAACCTTACCTATAAATATAGGTTAGGTTAGGTTAGGTAGGGTTGGTTAGGTTCGGTCATATATCTACGTTAATTTTAACTCCAATAAAAAAAAGTTGACCTCATACATAGAGAAAAGGGTTGCTTTATCATTTCATAAGAAAAAAATTATAGTAAATATATTAATTCAGGAAAACTTGGCTTATTAGGCAAATCGGGCCTTGAATAGTAGGCTGAAAAGTGAGTTCTGGCTACTAGGTACGACATATATATATATATATATATGTCGTACCTAGTAGCCAGAACGCACTTCTCGGCCTACTATGCAAGGCCCGATTTGCCTAATAAACCAAGTTTTCATGAATTAATATATTTTCTCTAATTTTTTTCTTATGAAATGATAAAGCTACCCATTTCATTATGTATGAGGTCAATTTTTTTTATTGGAGTTAAAATTAACGTAGATATATGACCGAACCTAACCAACCCTACCTAACCTAACCTATCTTTATAGGTTAGGTTAGGTTAGGTTAGGTTAGGTTAGGTTAGGTAGCCGAAAAAGTTAGGTTAGGTTAGGTAGGTTAGGTAGTCGAAAAAACATTAATTCATGAAAACTTGGCTTATTAGGCAAATCGGGCCTTGGATAGTAGGCTGAGAAGTGCGTTCTGGCTACTAGGTACGACATATATATATATATATATATATATATATATATATATATATATATATATATATATATATATATATATATATATATATATATATATATATATATATATATATTGTTACGGAAAAAATACTAATAGAGCAGTGGCTATTAGGGAAGATGGAACGCCACACACATTAAACAAAAAGAAGTAAAAAGAAACTAAATAAAACTGTTATGTAGATCTCTTCACTGTGTGGCAGCTGTAGGATATGGCACAAAGAATAACAATTTAAATACTTTACTTTGACAAAAAATAACTTTAACAATTTATAGGATATAAAAACAATTTCTTTATGACTTGGCTTAATAACACAGTGGAAAAATGAAAAGCAATTACACAAGTTAACGTTACGTTAAAGATCAAAATAAATTGGTGTTGAAAATACTATGTACAAAACTGTATAAATCTATCACCACACAGGGTGTTGCGTCGGGTAAATTGTTGCACGTGAAGGTGGTGAAGATCAGCTCCTCGGTTGACGCAGAACTCGGAGGCTGAAAGACAATTACAATGTAGAGATCTTCTACGTAACTAATTACAGACATATATAATACTGCGGAATTCACAAGAATTATGATTGATATTTCTGTCACTGCAGAATTCTTCTGCAGAAATTAATAAACTGTAAATTCCTATATAAATTCGGAATATGGCTAGAGAGAAAACGTACTGGAGTTTGATGTTAAAATCTCAGCCTAACAACAACTAGCCTAAATGTTAACAGTGAACATTAGTTAACATAAAAGGTAATTAATAGTTGCCGGGCCAAGTGTCTGTTGATGGAGGGAACGATTCCAGTCCTCCGTCCTGCAGTACTGTTGCTCAGACATCAATTAGAGGCTGGAGAATTAAGTAGTTCCTAGTCACTGCCGTTTTGTGTCGAAATACCGTGGCACTGCTCTCGGGATTGTGTGAGCGAATTAAATGACAATACGCAAGTTCCTTACAATGGCGTGTCTCTCTCTCTGGCACGCTGCTAATATGATGTTGCTAGTATGAACAGCGTCTCCTTCCTCCCCGGCTGCGATGCGCATGCGCAGAACGCTCCAAAGTATTTTCGAGCATAAATTATTTTACTTACTTGTAATTAATTAGGGAAGTAAGGAAAAGTGACAAGTACTAATGTCACTGATGAAAGTATTAAGGTGCAATATAATTTTGCACAGCGCAAGTCAGCTTATTAAGACTGCGTAAAATGAATAAAATGAATATTATATAGAATTGTTTTACATTGCAATATTTTCCACTGTTGTTGTTAATTCACCTAAATGAGCGAGTTCACTAAGCAGTAATATGCTATATAAATAAAACAACTAAATAAACGATTATCCTTAATAAAGGAAAGCAATTAACTGGACTCTGTTTAGAGTCAACTGAATGTGGAGAGAACTTCATGTTCTAGCCTCTCGCTGCCTCCCAGCGTCACGGAGACTAGGGAGAATGTGGCAAAAATGGCTTCACAATAGAAAACATTAATTGGATTAATTCTACGAATTAGTAAAATTGGTAATTACTGCGGATAATACAATAAGGATGTATAATTATACAAAAATGATGTATTAGTGTTGGATAATTTCCAACACAGGGTAGTGTGGCAGTAGGTGTAACAGGTATGAGCACTGAGAGTATTCTGCTGGTGGTGGCTGGCTGGCTGGCTGGCTGGCTGGCTGGCTGGCTGGCTGGCTGGCTGGCTGGCTGGCTGGCTGGCTGGCTGGCTGGCTGGCTGGCTGGCTGGCTGGCTGGCTGGCGTCTATATATACAGGAGCTTGACCGTGCAGATGGCGCTGGTGTTGTCGATAATTGGGAGCCGGCAGGTAGAAACGAGCAAGGAGCATGTTGAGGAGAGTAGCACGGGCCTCTGCCGACGCCAGGTGTCCTGGGGGAGGGGTGGTGGTAGGGAACTAGGATGTAGAGAGGTGTAATCTTGTCAAAACGTGGTTTCTGAGAATATGTTTTGTTGAATAGGCGATGTAGGAACAGTCCCAGTCTCTTTTCCTAGAGAGGTTCTTGTGACAGCTCTCCCCCGAAGCCTATTCCTATTGCCTGTTCGACTTCAGTGGAGGGTAGAGTGGAAGTGGAAGAGTCTACTTCATGGACTCGGGAGAGCGCATCGGCGACGACGTTGTCCGAGTCCTTCATGAAGAAGATGTTCATGTTTTAATTTTGCAGATACAGGGCCCCAGCGATAGCAAGTGTTGGTGCTGGGGCCAGATTCACGAAGCAGTTACGAAAGCACTTACGAACCTATACATCTTTACTCAATTTTTGGCGGCTTTGTTTACAATTATTAAACAGTTAATGAGGCCCGAAGCACCAGGATGGTGTTTATAACAATAAAAACAGTTGATTGGGAAGTTTTCATGCTTGTAAACTGATTAATAAATGTAAACAAAGCCGTCAAAGATTGAGGAAAGATGTACACGTTCGTAAGTACTTGCGTAACTGCTTCCTGAATCTTTCCCCTGGTTTGTGAACTGGGTTTGCTGGAGAAACTGAAGAGAATGGTGCTTGTAGAAGATGTGGAGGTAGCACTGCAGGATTCAGTGAATTATGAATTGGTTGTAGAATTGAGTCTGCTGAATGGATCAACGAGAATGGTGATCCGAGATCCGAGGAGATGATGATATGGTTCATCAGATGCAAGGCCCCGCATAGCAAGCGCTGATTGGTGAACTGAGCCAGCGATAGGAACCGAAGGAACTTATGATACAAGATGTTCACATGGTGCTGCAGGACTCAGCGAGGTTTGGAGAGCTGAGCCTGATGTGGGGACCGAATAATGTTGAGGTTCGAGGAGATGTTGAGGATGTGCTGCGGGACCTAGCGGAAGTTATTACTTACCTAACCTAACCCATCCTAACCTAACCTCCTTTAACCTATTTTAACCTAACCTAACTTAACTTAACCTAACTTAACTTGCATAACCTAACCTATCCCAATGTAACTAGCCTATCCTAACTTAACCTAACCGAATTTAACTTGCATAACCTAACCAATAATAACTTAACTAATCTATCCAAACCCAACCCAACCTAACCTAACTTAACCTAACCTAACATAACTTGCATAACCTAACCTATCCTAAGTTAACTAACCTAACCTAACTTAACGTATCTTACCTAACCTAACCTAACTTAACTTGCTTAACCTATCCTATCCTAACTTAACTAACCTAACCTAACCCAACCCAACTCAACCTAACTTAACCTAACCTAACTTAACCTAACCTCACCTAACTTGCATAACCTAACTTATCCTAACTTAATGTATCTTACCTAAACTAATCTAACTTAACTTGCATAACCTAACATATCCTAACTTAACTAACCTAATCTAACCCAACCTAACCTGTCCTCCCCCATCTAATGTAACTTATCTACCCAACCCAACTTAACCTAAACTAACCTAACTCTGACGAATTATAGATCTTAACTGAACTCTGACGATTTTTTTGTCTCAAAGTGGACTCTGTTCAATTTCGGTTTACAAATGGTCTCTGTCATATTTTGGGTCTTAAATGGCCTCTGAAGAAAATCGGTCTTTTTCAGGTGAAATAGCTGTAAATGGATATACAAACGAAAATTTACTGCTAAGATGTCTTTTCCTTAACGAAACTTCTATGACAATATTCTCTGAAAATGGTCTTTTTATAAATTTCGGTCTTAAACTTGTAAAAAATTTAGAATTTTCCCAATAAGAAGTTTTAACAAACTTTTATGAACACTTTATCCGAAAATGATCTTTGAAAAATTTCAGTCTTTAACTCTGAAAAAATTATGTGGCTCATCCAAAAATTAACTGGAAAACCGAAGCTCTACACGGCCCATCGCTAAAAAAAAAAAAAAAAAAAAAAAAAAAAAAAAAAAAAAAAAAAAAAAAAAAAAAAAAAAAAAAAAAAAAAAAAATAGGGCCGTGTGGACTGTCATCCATACTACTACCAGTCACACCTGCCTACCACCACACCTACTACTACCATCACATACTACTACCACCACACCTTATGGGGTACTGTGTCAAAGGCTTTCCGACAGTCCAAGAAAATGCAGTCCGGCCATCCTTCTCTTTCTTGCTTAATCTTTGTCACCTGATCGTGGAAGTCTATTAAGCCTGTGAGGCAAGATTTACCCTCCCTGAACCCATGTTGATGGGTTGTCACCAAGTCCCTTCTCTCCAGATGTGTTACCAGGTTTTTTCTCACGATCTTCTCCATCACCTTGCATGGTATACAAGTTAAGGACACTGGCCTGTAGTTCAGTGCCTCTTGCCTGTCGCCCTTTTTGTATATTGGGACCACATTCGCCGTCTTCCATATTTCTGGTAGGTCTCCCGTCTCCAGTGACCTACTATACTCTATGCACAGTTGCAAGCAAAGTGATTCGGCACAGTCTTTCAATACCTATGGTGAAATTCCGTCCGGGCCACCAGCCTTTCTCACATCCAGATCCAACAGGCGCCTCTTGACTGCATCTTTTGTAGTTTCGAACCCTTTCAAGGTCGCCTGGTTTACTGCCACTTCTCCTAGTGCAGTGACCTCACCTTGTCCTATTATGAAGACCTGCTGGAATCTCTTATTGAGTTCTTCACACACCTCTTTGTCATTCTCTGTGTACCTGTCCTCACCCGTTTTAAGTTTCATCATCTGTTCCTTCACTGTTGTTTTCCTCCTGATGTGACTGTGGAGTAGCTTTGGTTTCGTAGAGTCGGTGGCTGAGCGGTGGAGTCGGTGGCTGAGCGGACAGAACACTGGACGTGTGATCCTGTGGTCCCGGGTTCGATCCCGGGCCCCGGCGAGAAACGATGGGCAGAGTTACTTTCACCCTGATGCCACTGTTACCTAGCAGTAAATAGGTACCTGGGAGTTAGTCAGTTGTCACGGGCTGCTTCCTGGGGGTGGAGGCCTGGTCGAGGACCGGGCCGCGGGGACACTAAAGCCCCGAAATCATCTCAAGGTTACCTCAAGATAATATTGAAACCACACTAAACACAATAAAAACACAATTTACAACACACAGTCACTAAGTGTGTAAATCATACAGTGTAAGATGACAAACACACTCTTAAGCGCCAGTTACAGTAATCACGCAGACTAGCTGTAATAGACCTATACCTATTGCGCTTCCTCGGGGAATCGAACTCCTTCCCGTAGAGCGATTATGAAGAACGAACACCGATCGGCTGACTAGGTCAACACGAGGCACTTGACGACTGATACAAAGAAATAATAGCTTGAGTACTCACGTTGATTATACCGGGATATTCATCACACTCAATATATAATCAGTCACTATGTCCCCTGCTGTTGATTGAAGACAGGAGACGGAGGAGTGAGGTTGGGTGAGGCAGTGAGGTGCGGCTACAGTGAGGCGCGGCTGTGGGAGGCGGCTGGGGCTGCCTTGGGCACCTTGGGGGCGGGAAGGGTGGTGCAGCCACCAGACACTAGGTCGAGGATCGCCTGGCTCCCTCACTGGTGCATTCGGGAGCACGCTTACACCAGCACACCGGGTATAGATACTACCCTGAGTTTTGCTGAAGGTTGACTGAATGCACGCTGAAATATCTCCAGGCACCACGTAATAGGTGCACGGGGGAACAACAGAGGGGACCAACAGAGTCCACAATACCAATAATTTGAATATCACTGACGGAGCTTCACTCAACCACTTGGAATCGCATTACCCGATCCCTTTCACACAGTTTACTGTGTGACGTTATATAGGGACGGATCGCTCTGTATGAAGCAGATGAACACCAATTACAGTCTGGTTGCACCTGTGGGGATAACACGGGTGACGACTAAGATTTCTATCTTGTATCTTCGTTATGCGACATCTACCAGCGGCCTGCGATTACCGGATTGTGTGGCGATAATGTAGGGACGGGGAGATACACTTCAGCTGGATGGACTTTCATGTAGACAGGCAAATTACCTCTGTTCTGGCCGGAACAGGAGAAGCCACGTCTACCCAAGACCGCGTCAGAGTTCAGAATGGATGCGATATGCGCGAGAAGAGCCTAGGGCCCAGGCGTCCCCTTGGTGTGAAACGGCCAATTAGGATCGAACATTAGTAGGCACAAATGCCGTGCCCAATCACAGCGACCTGCCGGTGACGTGACGTCACTGGCGACCGTTACCTCAGGATAGGCTTGTGGCCCTCTCTCTCCCTCCCTTGGGCCAGATTCACGAAGCAGTTACGCAGGCACTTAAGAACGTGTACACCTTTCTTCAATCTTTGACGGCTTTGGTTACATTTATTAAACAGTTTACAAGCATGAAAACTTCCCATTCAACTGTTGTTATTGTTATAAACAGCCTCCTGGTGCTTCGGAGCACATTAACTGTTTAATAACTGGAAACAAAGCCGCCAAAAATTGAGAAAAGAAGTACAGGTTCGTAAGTGCTTGCGTAAGTGCCTTCATGAATGTGGCCCCTTGTCTCTAAGTGAAATGAGACCAGGATTCAGGCTGAACCTGTAACCATTTATCCACAAATGATACAACAACGATCGTTAGTTCTCTGGATAGCTAAAGGTGTCTGCTTTCTAAAGACATCTAATTTTGATGTTCTATCTTCTATAATAAGGAAGATAGACTTTTGTGCACACTCGTGCTATCCCTGAAAATTACTGACGTCAAAATATCGATTTTCTCCTTCTTTCTACTATGTGTAAGCTAGCTCAGAGATGCAATCTCTGACACCAGCCTTTTCTTATCAGCAGAGCTACACCACCTCCTCCTCTTCCTTCTCTCTCTTTCCTCACTACATAGTAGTCCTGTGGAAACACTGCATTAGTTATGGTTTTCGTTAGCTTTGTTTCCGTGAGTGCTATTATGTCTGGGTTTTCTTCTAGTGCCCATTCTCCAAGTTCATTTGTTCAATGGTCATACACACACACCTGTACTCACCTATTTGTGCTTGTGGGAGTTGAGCTCTGGCTATTTGGTCCCGCCTCTCAACTGTCGATCAACTGGTGTACAGATTCCTGAGCCTACTGGGCTCTATCATATCTACACTTGAAACTGTGTATGGAGTCAGCCTCCACCACATCACTTCCTAATGCATTACATTTCTCAACCAAACATTTGGCACTAAAAAAGTTCTTTCTAATATCTCTGTGGCTAATATGGGCACTCAATTTCCACCTGTGTCCCGAAGT